GCTTCACGCGCCACTACTGTGCGTGCTTCCGTTTATTCAGCGTTCGTTGCTATGGTGACAGCGTGGAAAGCAGACGAACTTTATGTTGCGGAAGAACGCTCCGGCGCAGCGATACCAGGTGCGCTCTAAGGCCCTTCCTGCATGCTTTTCAATGGCGGAAGACGTACATAACGAGCTCGAAATAAGGACTTAACGCAGAATGCTGCATTTCTCCAGATCCTCATAATTTGACAAGCCCCGATCGAAAAGACCATCAGGTTTTGTTGATGGACCATCAGAGTTTCTTGATGGTCCATCAGACTTTTCTGATGGTCCATCAGGTTTCCTGATGGACCATCAAAGAAGACTGATGGACCATCAGCCCACTCCTGATGGACCATCAGCCCATTCCTGACGGACCATCTGACTTTCCTGATGGACCATTAGACTTCTTTGATGGCCCATCAGGCTTCCTGATGGACCATCAAGAAGGTCTGATGGACCATCAAGAAAGTCTGATGGACCATCAGCCCATTCTTGACGCACCATCCGACTGTCCTGATGGACCATCAGATGCGTTTAGATGGTCCGTCAGAAGTTCCCGACGGCGCCTAATGGTCTGTTTGGCACTCTTGATGGGCTGTCAGAAGTGGTCTAATGGTCGTCAGAAGTTTTATGCTTCACTTCGGTTCCATCAAAAGCGCCTTATTTCCCGGCCGTCGGGATTTTCTTTGCGCACAATGTTTATCAAAAGTGCTTGATTAATTGTTGCTCGCGGTATTCTGACGGCGCCGTCAGGGGCGTTTAATAACAATTGATATATGGGTCGCGACATATTCGCCAGCATGTGATGAGTCGCGGGCTCGCGAGGTGCTGACGCAACTATGTCACGCGATTTGTCTTTACTCACTGAGTCCCCGATTCACCGGCAACTGTGCGTTCGTCTGCAATCACGCACCGTGGAAACCCGTACTCACGGTAGGGTTCATCGTTTCCCATATGCTTCATCTACGCCTTTCATTACCAACGGAAGGTGGACAGACTTTTCGTCGACACATTAATATTTATAGACACGGCACCCCCCGAGCCCCGCAACCGTTGTGCGCATCGGACGGTCGCGGCGGCAATTAAGTTCAGCTTCCAAACAGACCGCGCGGCCATTGCTTTGCATTACTTTGCTCGAAGGTTAAATAGTCGGGGGAATGCGCCACCGCCTCGCTGAATGAGCGGCCCAAAGTCGAGGAGGCTCCGCAACTTTGCACGCTACAAAATAGGCGATTTGAGGCTATGTCGCGAAAAAAAAGCTATCGTTGAATCTCGCGTATGATATATGATGGGCCGCAGCCGCGTGGTCAATGGGTTGATGTGATTTTTTTTATTAAGGAAAAGCCTTATATGTCTCGTCGTTCAGACGACCTTAAAAGTTCTGGAGCGGAAACACGTCGAGTCACGAAAGGTGCTAAAACCGGCGACAGGAAAGGTAGAAAAACCTGCATTATTCAGTATCCAGCTGCACTAGAACCCTTTTGGACAAGGGCGGTCGTTAACGAAGCAGCTTCGCAGGGGTTTTAGACTGAATTAAAGTTTTCAACACCACCGCCACTATCAGAAATATAATAAAAATAAAAAAAAAAAGTTGTCTTCCTTCTCTGGGGAGGAGTCGAACAAACGACCCCTCGTTCCGTATGCCGACGCGCTACCCCTCCGCCAAGGGCGGAGGGGTAGCGCGTCGGCATACGGACCCCCCATACGGACTGTGGCATACGGACTGTGGGGGGTCGCGTAAATTATGAGTGAGTCTTTAATGTATCGGCTACTGCCGACGCATCGGCTACTTGCGGCGCCAGTTTCTTCACACGCAGTGTTGACACTTGACAGATTTCTCAAAAATGTTCTCATTCAAGTTCATACGCAGTGTTCGACACTCGACGATCCGTTAATTTTAATGTATACCTTATATTTTGTATTTTGAAAAACGTTCGCCGCTTATATCCGTTCGAGCAACTGCGTCTTCAAAAGCTTCGAATCCAAATCCAAATCCAGTTTTTTCGTGCGCTTTGTTGCCTCGGCAGCCTTACCCTTCCTCGTGGAGTGTTTTCGAGGTTTTAGATATTTCGGTAGGTTTCACTCAATTTTTCGAGAACGGAGAAATAAGCGACGTCCACAGGGCTTTATTTAAAAACTGCAATCCTTCGAATGTGGTCGACTTCGAGCGTAGGACGGCGTACAAGGTGTCTTGGGACGGCGACGCGAACACTCGAGGAGGCTATTACGACGCCGAGATCCTCGAACTGACGGGTGAGTGTGTATTTTTTACCATCGCAAAGTGCGACGTAGCCACGAGCAATCGCCGTTTTCTTTCTTTTTTATTGCGACTGTAATTAAAAGTGAATATTGTAGACTGCTTATATGGGGCACCAAGCTACGCAGATGAATGCATGGGCTAATACTTCAGTTGAGCGTGTGGACTGAACTGCCTTGCACGTGACATCATATGGCACCCTACAAGCCGCCATTGCTCCTGTGCCTTAAGTCCGCGCTAATTTACTCGTACTCCACCGTTCCGAGTTTCACACTCCGAGCGCAGCAACTAAACGAAGCATAGCGTACAGTAGCGCATCACACCGAAGCTGTCGGTGAGCTGTATGAGCCACTTCCGACCACAGTTTTATGACAAACCCAGCATCTCGCGGATGCCAAAATTATTTTGAAGATAAATTAATTAAGGGCTCTGTAAAATGGTAAAGTAAAAGCCCAACCCCCCCCCCCCCCCCCCCAAAAAAAAAAAAAAGAAATCCGCGGCGACGTTAGGAAATTTTTACGAATGTTAATATTTGTGAAAGGTTTGAAGACTCGCTTCGACCAGATATGCTGAATGTTACTTTGACCGATCTATTTATTGGCCATGCATGATGTTTAGATTCAAATGAAAGACAACATTCTTGAACTCGCTTGTCAAAACAAGAAACTCTCAAACTTGTCAGATATTGTGGATTTCCGTCTTCCAGCGCAAGACGGAACCTGTCGATGTGCTACTCCAATACTGGCACACCACCGTTCAATAAATAGCACATTAATTAGTTTTCAGGCGAGATGCATGGACAAACTTTTCCCGCAACGGTTTCGCTTTCCAATCGAAGTATCTTTATTCGCAGGGCTGTGCATTCTACAAAGGGCAGCGATCGGACTGTCCTCTCATCTCGACAACTTTTCTGTCGCTGTACCATCATAACGCTACTGTTCGATGGGTAACTCGTTTTCAGGTGAGATTCGGGAACAAACCTTTTCCGTAATGTTCCTGGCTTTGAAATCAAATCATTTTACTCGCTGGGTTAAGCATTCTTCAGCTGAAATGAGGCAGCGATCCACTGCACTCCTCGTCTCGGCGACGTTTCTGTCAGCGCGAATAAATGACTTGCACTTCGAGAAATACTCGGTGCAAAAAGAGCACGCTTGAGTGTCAGTCCTTTGGTGGCGCTTCTGTCCATTTAATGAACAGAGCGCCAAACTCTTGCGCTCCGCAGCACAAACTTAGGCGCACAATCGTGGCTGATTCAATGTCAATTCATGCGAGTCCTATAATACATTGCTTGCATTGATGTTGCATCAGCTGCCATTGCTTCCTGACCAATTTATTTATTCATGATCACAAATGTACAGTAGGGGACAAAAGTCCCCAGGACGTGCTAGCTGCGGCTGAAACCCATTGCTCTGCCACCTGCCGGCGGGTCGCCTGGTTTCGAGATCACACAAAAGCGGATGCGCGTCCTACTCTGCCTGCAAACATGTGTGTTTCCTGCTCTTCTGCGGCACAGCACCTAAATAGGAATCGGACACATGGTACTGCCTCGGACATAGCGCTGGCGGCTGACGAGCGTCTGCTATACATTCCAATACTCGAGATACCGCCTGGGGCATTGCGCCGCATTTCGTCGTGTCAGCGCACCTTGCTTTATAACCAGTTCAGCTTATCGCTTAATTGAGCTGCCGTGACTTCTTGCTTTATAGGTGCCATGTCAGTAAGCACTATCTCCGAAGTGGTACCACGCGCCCGATTCCGGGTTAGGCGCCGCGCCGCAGCAGAGCGGGAAAGCGCACACGTTGGCAGGTACAATAGGACGCACGTGCGCCCTTCTGTGATCTCGAAACTTGGCGACCCGCCGGCAGATGGCTCAGGAATGCGTTTCAGTCGCGGCTTGCGTGTCCTGGAGACTTTTGTCCCCAACTGTACCTACAAGAAACCCAAGAGGAAATGGCAACTGAACTGGCCAGGCGCAAACAGGCAGCTGAAGCATCTGCAAGTTCACACAAAGCTGCTCCTCCCAGGAACGTCAGCCCTTGTGCCCTCTAAAGCAAAGCAGTTTTTGTGGAAATTTTGTCACCAGAATATCATTACCTGTCTATGTAATGTGGTACAGCCTATTTTTTCGGGGAGTGTCCAAAAGCTAAATCTTAGCGCTAATTAAATTTTTAGATGCGGTTTATGTCAGGACAAAAGCTGAAAGTGACGATGTTGCAAGGCTCTCAAAAGCAGCGCCAGCCACATATGGCTAGCAGCGACCGAAACGGGCACACAACTGGCCAATCCAACTGATGCAGAAAGAGCTGGTCGTGCACAAAATGTGAGTGTGGAAAGCAGCTTGGGAATCCCAACACTGCGTAATGTCATGTCGAGTCCTTAACATTTATACTTCTTTGGGATTGCTCTGTTACACCACTCAGTCAAGACTTTGCAGTTTACCAAGCCTTCTTTATTTCACAAAGGCCAGTAAAGCAGTCGGGAGTGACAAGGAAGACAAAGAATCAACTAAATCACAAAAAAAAAGCACAGGGATCTAGTTTGATGCCGGCAACAATATGTTGTCATGATTTGTTGATGAGGAATGCCATGCTTTCTGCCTACACCCCAATGTGCGTGAGTAATGCTGCTGGGGGCACACCGGCAGAGCTGCTAGAAACACCTTTCTCTGACTTACCCTGCTCTATCAATTGCAGGACTACCTGCGGCTCGGCTGTTGATGTGGGAGGTGCTGTAGGGCCCTACTGCCTAACACGTAGTCATTTATGGCCTGACCCCTGGGTACTCGTATGTTTACCGTACTAACAGAACCCATGCTTTAGCATTAAAATGGTAACTTTTTTAATGAACCTGCAGTATATGAAAGAAGTTTGCTGTGCGGTGATAGAGCCGAACATGTGATATGCAACACATGGCTTATATCTTGCATAGAGGATATTCATTCATAATGGGTGGAAACAATAATGCTGAGAAAGAAATCATAAACGGCAAAGAGCTCTCTACTCTACTGTTGTGGCTGCGCTCTGTTGCTGAGCAGAATGACCGAGGAATGTCCTTTCTACGTCATGACTACGTAGCAAGTTCCCCAATGTTGCTAGTTTACCTCCCATATAGGCTCCACATGCATCCACCAGGTGCACATTGAAAGATTGTTTGATTAGCTTTAAAATTAGTTTGCTTGTGCCCTTCAGCAAAGGACTGGTATTTTTGAGGTTATGTTGCAACCTGCAACTCATTAAAGCGATAAAATGAGCGCTGGAATTTGGTTTCTGTACCTCTTTCATGTGAAATTGTTTTTTCAGTTCCTGACGAGGACATCCTTGCAAAGAATGAGATCGTGGATCCTAGCATCGGCCTCCAGAAAAGGAAGGAATGGTAAAATAGAAAAACTTTTCACTTTCATTCAGCGTATAATATGCATTAAAAGAGTTTAGGATAGTGCAGGGGTGGCCAGAGTGACATGGAGTTAGAGCCGCAGACAAAACTACGAAAGTTTAGAGTCGCTGGAAAAAAGAAAGTGGGGGGGGGGGGGGGGGCTACTTTTAACAAGAAACAATATGGAGGGAACAGTTATTTCCATAGGGGACAAGTATAATGGGCGATAAAAACCCATGACACTATGCATCAGAAGGTCCTTTCCACTGCTAAGCAAAAATTAATACACGATTCACAAGCCAGTCACTGCCCCTGACAACTGTTATGCGTATACGGTTGAAAGTCTTTCTAGAACAATAAAGGTAACGGGGTCACTCGACGCATCTATGTGGCAAAAAGCATTCCAGGTGTATATATGTAGTGTGTTGCCAGGCTGCCAAGACTTGTAGCTCTTTCTAAATTCTAGAACCCTTTTCGTCTGGGGGCACGTTTTCCAGGGAGCCGCGAGCTGCACTTAGACGCGCAAAGAGCCGCTTGCGGCTCGCGAGCCTCACTTTGGCCACTCCTGAGATAATGTAAGCACAGTAGATTGAATCGATTGCAACAAGAAGTCATTAAAACATTATTGTAGCCAGGCTCTTAATTGTAGTTACAGCCAGTGCCTGGAAAACATTCTGTTGTCATGCTCACCTGATGCAACTAAGGGATTATGTAGCTGTTTCATGCAGATGCCATGAAGCTTTGTAGGCCCATCAGCTTCGCAGACGCCCATGAAGATAGGAATTCATGTGTAGTGCTGTCTTAAATTTAAAGGCCTAAATTTCATTAATGTAATTATTTTAGTGCATTTTCAATGCATCTTGGAGTATACAGTACCACTCTACGTCAACGACTGGTATATGTGAAGCTGTTTCTCGCTTTTGTTTATAACAGATCCATGTCGGGCAAGGTGTGCACGTCAACCAGGAAGGCGGGCAACATGCGGACAGCAGAGTGCGACTCCATGTTTTGCAAGATCACTGCTGCTTCCATAGGGTGAGTGGAAGTGCTTTTGGAGAGGTCGGTGACCGGCACCCTCTCCAACAAGGCAAAGGCAGCGAGGCAAGAGAAGGCGTTTGCCCCGCTCACTCAGCGCAAGGTGCAGGCTCTCTCATCAAGCAAACATTTTTAAAATCTTGATATGAATCTCGCGGAGTCGCGTAAAATATTTCATGCTAAATTCGTATCAACGAAAGCGAAACAAAATTTATATTTTGAAACACAAGGAATGCATGAATGTGCATTTATTTATGGCAGAAAATATCTTGTATGCAATTTACACGATTCTAACATGCCCCCATAGTAACACACGGTTATAATCAACCCACGAATGTTGAAAAAATGAATTAATGTTGATTCTACTGCGCAGATAAATGTCGATTCTACTTCGCAGATAAAATAATGACGGCTGAACAACATACACTTTGTGGAAAACATTTCATCAAATGAACATACTCAGAAAGTGCCCACTCTATGTGCTGTTGAAGCCCTACATCAAAAACTTGCAAGCGAAAATTCGGTTTCTTTGTCTTTCCAACCAAGCTCGCATGTCACCGTGGACCACACCGAAGACACCACCAACATCACTCGGTTTTCTGCTTTTGCCAACGCAGTTACTTTGCTTTTTAGAGGTAACCTTATAGTAAAATCGGTTTTGCTTTTCCAAGGCTGAAACACCATTCCACGAGATCGCAAAAACAAAAAAAGCGATTTTGGATTCAGATTGGATTGGATTTGAAACATGTGTTGATGGTGATGGGGCTGGCCACTTTGCACAGTTCTTTTTTAGCATTTTGTTTAGTTTTGGTTTTTGGGTCCGATTGTAACATACATGTAATTTTGAGCTCCAGTTTTTGGGTAAAGTGCGGCTGATCCCTGGCAGCAGCAGGCAATCAGCCGCCCGGAGCCCTGAAAGCTTACAGTCGCCGATCGTGGCCTCCTTGCCACTATCAGTTGTGGAGCACGCATTCGTATCAGCCGTCGCAGAGCGTAGAGGAATTCGGAACACCCAAAAATTTTCACGTCGTATACAATGCACTTCGGCCGGGGAATTGGTTAATTTGTTTTATTCCAAAATTCGTACCAGTTAGTATCACCGAGATTTTACTCTAGTAGGTTGCCTGCTAACACCTGGACATGTGATGGGAGTACCCCGCCAAGAATGAGCCAATCATAACAGATAATAACCGTAAATAATCGCACATTTGTATTTTGAACAGATAATTTTATTTTTCGTTCTAAGCAACAAACTCGAGCAAGTGCTTGAAGAGAAGTCAACGGAGAGCTCGATGCATCGTGGGCTATCCGGCAAAGCTGGCGTGGCTACGTGCTGTGCCGTTCGGGTACATAGTGGTGGTGTAGACGTGTTACAGCCTAGCCATTTGAAACATCTGTGGGCTTTACGTGGACCAAAGCGGACTAAGCCGTCTAAGCGCCTATGTGTGAGATAAGTAATGTCAAGGTCATCGCGTTCAGGGCGAGATTACTCCAACAGTTGAGTGTACCTCCAAACAGCGGCGCTGCTCCGATGTGTAGTGCAGCTACATAGCGGTTTTCGCCATGTCACGACTACGTCCAAGATCCCCAACATTGCTAGATTACCTCCCAACGAAGCTTCAGAGGCCTCCACCAGGTGCACATTGAAAGACTGTTTAATTACCTTTAAATTTAGAGCCAGGCCATGAATGGAAGATCTTTCAAGCAATGTGAAAGATTGTTTTTATATAGAACTGCATTGTTCTTTCTGGTGCTCATGATGCTATTTTTTTTTTTAATTCTGTGGCGTGTCTAAGCTGTTACCACAGCGAGGGATGATAACCAAGTATAAGCAGTTTCCAACGTACATTGTCTACTTATCTACAGTTGTAGCTACTATTTCTTACAAGGTCACTAGCCTAGCAGTGAGATTTATAGACATGGGCTACCTGTTTTGTGCTTAAAAGAATCTAACAGAAGCCAGGGTGGGCTGCCTATTGGGAGTGGAACATAAATCAGGATACTGCGGTACCTTTGCTTTCATGGTGATCTCTGAACACTGTAAATACTAAGAAACGTTGAAGCCTTGTTAATTACCAGCGTCCACTTAATTGCTTTTATTTGAGACTAATTTACCCTTGGTCTTCTCAAACTATGACCCTCCAGCCTGTATTTATGACGTTCTATATTGTTTTAAGTCTGAGCACTGCAAAAAATAATTACCCTGGAATTTCAATATTCCAGGCTGCTTTTGACGACACCTGAGGGAGAAAGGTACTGCCAGGCTGAAAGGACAGCCCGGCACCAGAAGATACGGCGGTACCTGTCAGAAAAGCTGTCCCATCTCAAGAGAAATCACTATAAAGGTACGTGCATCTATACTCTAACTTCCTTAATTAAGTGATATACTATTTTGGGTCTCAAGTTTACAAGCAATTATTTTAAATGATGATATAGATACATTTTTTAGAGGTTAATATATCTAAATGTTTATGCAAACAACTTTAAAGTAGTCTGTTGATCAGCTGACCACTTGAAAAAGGCTGTGGGTTGCTTGGTCGCTACTGCCATCCCATCAGGCCGTGCTCGCTCACTCTCCAAAAAGTTGCATGGTCACACAATTACAATGAAGCATGTCACTCTTACTGCCCCTTAGTCGTCTCTAGGCCCACTCTGCTGTTTACGTATGTCAATGGTCGTCCTGTGTTTGGACTCATTGCTGATCTCTGAATTGCACTTGATATGTCCAGGCTCATCCCTTTGCTGCCTGTCCTCCCCCGGTGCGTGGTCCCACCACGGACTGCTCATGCTGTTGCAGGTCTGCCATCGCTTGCACCCCATCTTGTAGCCTTTTTACCCTTTTCTTCATATTAATTGAGCTTAATTTATATATTGCCAATACTATTGAAATGGAAGAAATGTACTATCGCAGCCAATATGAGCTGAAACGCCACTGCACGTTGCACGCGATGAGAGTTGTCTCTCAGATTGTTCAGCAAACCTTGGTATGCGTTGAGGTAGAAACAAATAACTTCTTGTGCTCGTTGCACCACTATGCCGTTCCGTGTCAATTTTCAGCTCATAGTGGCACAATGAGTGCAAGAAGCAACCTGCCTAAACCTCAGCCAACACAGAGGTTCACTGAAAATCCGACAGGTGGCTCTGATAGCACCACACGCCATGCGTCATGGCGCTTCAACTAATATTGGTCACAATAGTACTTCCTCAAATGTTTCTGGTTTTTCTGTACCACCTAGCCATTCCACCCAGCGAAACAATGTATGATTTCATAACTTCATAATAAAAATATCAAAGTAATGCAGCTTGTTTGACTTTATTCTTCTTAGTAGCTGCATTCGCCGTACTCAAATGTCGGGCTGGCGATTACCAGTGTGCAGTGGACAATATAATTAAATAATAAGTGGGATATGCACCTCGTCATGCTCCAGGCATGGCATAATTAAGTTTCCAGATTATGCATTCACATATTGTTGTGTTTTTTAAGTTGTGGCCAACTCGAACTGTTTCAAATTATCCATGAAACCACCATAATCAAACCGTAAAAAATAGGTGTCTCAGAATACAACAGGTCATTCGACCATCAGACCAAACCAACAGACCATCGAACCATCAGGCCATCAAACCATCAGGCCATCAAACCATCAGGCCATCAAACCATCAGGCCAACAGACCATCAAACCATCAGGCCAATAGACCATCAAACCATCAGGCCAACAGACCATCAGGCCATCAAACCATCAGACGTCCCAAAATACGACTCCATCAGACCATCAGGATTTTCCTGATGGTCTTTTCGATAGGGGCCGCTCACGGAAAGCGTGTTTTAGACCAGAGTTTTCAGATGGCTTTTTCCTACAACAACATGGGTCTAAAGTATCAATGTGCCATAAAGCCTTAGGTAGGAAGACTAGAGTGCCTAATTCACACCCGCGTTTTTGCTTGAGTGGTGACATTTCAGCCATTTTCCCGCCCAATCGTTTTTTTTTATGCATTTTGAAGCGCGCAATCTGGTGTCACTCAGCTCTAGTGCGTAGCTTTGGCTTATGCATAGACGCCATTTTACCGCCCAAGTCACGCACGGAGTGCGCGAGAGCGTCACGCGCTGGCACATTCAGGGCAACAATGGATGTCTTCACCCTCAGAAAGACAGACATGTAGGCACCCTAAGGAAGACCGAGTTTTTGTGCCACCTAGTGAAAACGCCTCTCACTAAGCGGCGCTAAAATTGGACCCTCAGAAAAAGAAAAAAAAAGGGAGGAATGTACCACGGATGTATATATTGCACTCCAAGCAATACATGCTCGGAGTACAATACATGCACTCCGAGCATGTATTGCACGCGAGTACTGACGTCAGCGTCCGGCAATGGCTCGGATTCAATCCCGTGCTTCGTGTCCAAGCAATGGCGACCGGCAAAGTGGCTCGACGGGTCGTGAAAAAATAATCAAGCATAAAATAAACACATACGACACTGGGATTACGAATTGGCGAACGCTCGCTATCCGCTCGCATGCTTTATGGCGGTCAGGACCAAATGCCAATGTTTCAGAGTTTACCGCTTCCTTATTGCGAAAATATAAGCCTCGACTGAAATTTTTATAAGCGAAAATGGTGGCCAACAGAGCCGTCGGATTCACAAAGAAAACTAATCCAATTTGCAATGCCAACTAACAACGGCACCAGTTATACAAAAAAAAAATGGGCCCCCATTTTTCATTAAAATTTTTGGATACTCAAATTTGTCAAAACATAACCGTTAGGTGTGCAACTTTGTCGTTTGTTTCGGACCGAATGGCGGACGAAAATTTAGGCGAAGGCTAAGCCTTTGAATGCGTCCTTCATTTTTGCAAGAATAAAATACCGCTTATTTTTTTTTCTTTACACGTGCTATATATGCATTTGTTATTTATTCCGTCGTTGGGTGACGTGATTTTTTATACATCCCAC